TCCCATAAACCAGCTTGAATACAATGGTTTAGGAGCACAGGAGGAGAGAGGCATGAGAATGAATGTACCAGAGGACATTTTACACCAAAACATTTGTGTTTCTTCCTGTGGGATGAGTATGACTTTGTTAGGAGACAGGAAAGCACAGACATTCCTGGGACAGGAGCGTGAGGAATCAAGCTAATCTTTAAGTGGTTCAGTGTGAACAGATTCAAGTATGTCCAAGGAAGTTAAGGGAGAGATTATAGGTGGAGATTAGATACACTTCAGTAAATAAGCTAATCAAGGTGGACTTTAGCTTATTTGTAGAGCCAACAAAAGTTTTGTGCAGTGGAGTGATCATCACAGATTTTTTTCAGGGGGGAGAGAAGATAGATTTAGTAACAGTGAGGAAAGCGGACTAACGCAGAAATAAAGTAGGTATAGATTTGCATGGTCTCGTGGGTGGGAGGATGTACTAATCTTGCTGTGAAATAATGGCTTAAATGTGGGGCCGAAAGAGTAAGAATGAGATAGAATAGATACAAGACATGTCTACAAGCTCTAGTTACTCAATTTACTCTGAATTAAAATTCAGATAATCTCCTTCTTTAGAATGACACATTTCATGTTACCAGTAACTCATTTCTCCTCTTCCTGATTCTGTCATAGGTTCTATGCTTCCATTAATCTAATCAGCTTCCAGTTCCCAACAACTAGCATGCCAATTTCTTCCGCCATGTGTTTATCTATTCCACTCCTTTCTAACGACAATATGTCTCCCACTCTTCCCAATCATTTGTAGCTCCAATGGCCTTCAAGGAGTGACTCATACCTCATCTTGCCCAAAAGCGTCCATTGATTAACTCTCCCAATTATAAGACAGAATTGACAGAATTCAGCAAGTATATTTGTGTTTGTGTTTGTGTTTGTTATATGGATTTGGGAAAGGGATGAGTAAGGGGGTTATTGAAAACCATTTGCCATAAAATCGATTCCGACTCATAACAGAATTGGTATTTTAGACTAGAACAGCATTCCACAATAGGGTTTTCAAAGACGTGACCTTTCTAGAAGCACATAGCCAAGCCTTTATTCTAAGGTTCCTTTGGGTAGATCTACCTCATTACCTTCAGTTAGTAGCTGAGTGCTTAACCAATTATGCCACTTAAGGCCCTTTCAAGGGAATATTTAAGAAGCATCGACTTTTTCTTAGGCTAGAGGGGATCGATCAGGTGCTGATAACATTAACTGAAAAAGAGAATCCAGAAAGGGAAGTAGGTTGGTAGGGGAGTGTGGAAGAAATGGGTAAGAGAGTTAGTTTTCCTTTTAGGCACAATAAGCTGAGCTGACTGTGGAGTAATATTTCATGGAGATGACCAATGGGAAGCCAAGAAATACAAAACAAAGCTCCAGAGAGAGGATTTTTGGATAGAAACAGAGACTAAGGAGCCATCAAAATATGGATAGGATTTAAAACCAAAGGAGTAGATGTTGTTGTTGTTGTTGTTGTTGTTATGTGCCGTTGAGTCGGACCCGACTCATAGCGACCCCTCCGTGGGTTGTCAAGGCAGTATCACTATGGAAGTAGATTGCCCAACCTTCCTTTCGAGGAGTGGCTGGTGGGTTTGAACCACAAGCCTCCTGGTTAACAGTCAGGTGCCTTAGGCACTATGCTACCAGAGCTCCTAAAGGAGTAGATAAAGCCCAATAAAAAAGGAGAAGGCCAAAGTCAAAACCTGGTGAATGAACTTTTAAGAGATTAGAAGAAAACAAGGGCAGATTGATGAAACAACCAGTAAAATAAAAGCAATGGCGTCTTAAAACACATGAAAAGAAAGGCTTGAAAAAAGAAAATGTGTTCAGCAATATCAAGTTTTTTATCATGAAAACTGTGTGGTTCATATTCTTACAATTCTTTTTACAGATGAGAAAACCAATGCCCAGAACGCTTGCTGTCAGAGTGCATATACTGGTGGTAAGTGGCAGAGACAAAATGTGAGCCTGCTATCTGGGTCCAAAGCCAGTATTTTTCCCTCTAAAATCCATTACCTTCTCAACAGCTGTTCCATTTGATGAGCAACAAGCTCTAGTTTCTCAATTTACCCTAAATTACAATTCAGATAATCTCCTTCTTTAGAATTACATGTTTCATGTTACCAGCTACTCATTTATCCCCATCAACCTAATCAGCTTCTAGTTCCCAACAATTTCTTCCACCACTATTCCACTATCTATTCCACTCCCTTGTAATGACAATATATCTCCCACTCTTCCCAACAACTTGTAGTCCCAATGGCCTTTAAGGAGTGACATATCTCAACTTTCCCAAAAGCTTCTGTTGATTGACTCTCCCAATTAGGAGTATTCCATTATGCTGTGCTCCCTTGGCATTATTTATAGGCAAGAGCAAAGATTATGTGTCCTTCCTTACTTAAAAATGTCAAAGGTTTCTAGTCTTTCTTTTTTATCAGCCTCTAAGCCCTTCAAGAAAAGATGTGGCTTTTTCAAGTCTATTTTTAACCTTATTAATTAAAATAAAGATAAAAGTAGGAGTAAGGATGTGATGCCAATAAATGTGGATATGGCTTGCCTGCCAGATATTCAAGGACAAGGAGTAGACTAAAATAACTACCAAAAATTAAATAAAGAACTGGCTATTCAGACATTTAATGTGTTATGACATATAGTGTATAACTGACCCAAAATAGCTGCACTTATCATAAAACGTTGCAGAGTTTACAGGAACTAGCTCTTTAGCCAAATTTAAACTATACTTTGTCAAAATAAATGCACTTTAGATAACTATTTGAATAAACTGTGTTTTACAAGGTTGATCAGCATCTATACTTGTATTGTTATGTATGGCATACATCAACAGTATTTCAAATGAACTATTGTTCTCTTAAGACTTTCCCTTAAATGTGTGTTCTTGAAAAATGTGTTTGAATATTATGATTGGGCAAAGAACTCCTTGGTAGCACAGTCAATGGCCAAGACACAGTTCCAGTGCTAATGGTATCTAAGGCAACACAATAGAAACCCTGGCTTGTTTCTGAATCTACATTTCAAGGACAGAATGAAACCAGTGAAACCAAAAGAAACTCATATAAAACCCCAGGCCAGACATCATACAATAAGCAGCTATTTTTTTTGGAAGTCAGAGATGAAAATGAATTCCAGAACTTCGTTATTCTTTCATTATTTCCATATAACATAGCATATACAAATACTCTCAGATTTCTTTTTTATGGATTTGAACTCCCAAGTTCTTCCTTGTTTTTTAAAAAAAGCAACTGAATGCCTATACACATAGAATAAGCATACAGTGTACCAACTGCAAGGGTTGCACTGACAGTTCTGCTTGGAGGCTAACAGATGAAGGAAGATTTGTGAGCTTTTGTTGTTGTTGTTGTCATGTGCTGTCAAGTCGGACCCGACTCATAGCGACCCCTCCTTGGGTTCCCAAAGCAGTATCACTACAGAAGTAGATTGCCCAACCTTCCTTCCGAGGAGTAGCCACTCCTTGGGTTTGAACCGCCAGTCTTCTGGTTAGCAGTTAAGTGCCTTAAGCACTATGCTACCAGGGCTAGACAATGATAAAGTTTGGCAATTTAGAAAACCACTTTAAAATACATAAATAGCAAAAACGGAAGGCATTACAGGTGTCATATAACGTACAGATTTTTAACAAGAGCTATTGATTTCCTTATTCTATTTTGAAATATGACAAGACATAAAATTAGTAATGTCTTAGTAACATTTACTGAGCCCCTATAACATGAGCTAAAACTTTGCACACATAATCTCATTTAATCTTCACAATGACTCTTTGAGGTGCGTACACATGTGATACAAGAGAAAACCAAAGTAGATACCAATTAGTAAATTGCCCAAAGTTACACAACTGGTGCATGTCAGTGACATAATGTAAACACAGACAGCCTGATTCCCAGGCCCCAACTCTTCACCTCTGATGATTTCTCCTGATTATTTCCTATTTTATTTAAATTGCTTTTCCAGCAAAAGTTTAAATAATATAGTGCCATAATTTATAAAGGATGATGTAAACTTTAGAACTTCCAGATTTCATGAAAGCAGATTAATGTTTACAGACAATACGACAAATACAACTACATAACTAACGTAAACACAGGAAAAAGAAAAACGGCATTAAAATTAACTGTATCTTGCAATGTATCCAAAGAAGAAATATTGCTGCCAATGTTCATTAAGTGAGCTTTGCTATCACCAACAACTATGTATTATCAGTCTTTGCTAGCCCATTTCTAATCCATGCAACCAATATAATAATTTTTCGAAAATTTTCTAAATAGTTAGAGTACTAAGCAATATGTTAGGGAATCATGCTAATGGTCTTAAAGTATTAACTATGTTTCCAAGCTTGCTAATTTACTATAAGAGTGAAGATAAAGTTATTAAGAAGCAGCCTTTGCCTAGGCTTATTTTATATATTTTAAAGCTCACAAGTAATTAATATAGAAAAAAAGCTATCACCAAAGCATTCCTTAAAACAACCACAGAAATGTACTCTACCATATATCAGTTACATATCGATAAGAAACAAAGTCCAATTGGAACATAAATATCAGCAATCAAGAAAGGGTCTTCAAATTATTCGTGCCATTCAAATGAAGTTTCCATCAGTTAAGAACTTGAAAGCAATTTTTCTACTAAATCACTTAGAAGCAAATACATTAGCTATTCAGCATTTCCAGTACAGCAACCTTCCAGGTAAGAGCAGAATTTAGCACACTTAGTAGGAATGGTGCACCTAAATGTAATTAATCATCCATAAACATTCAAGGAGCTCTTAGAAATAAGGAGTACATTAACAAAACAATATGTAGAAGAAGCCCTTCTCCCAAAGATATATTTTTTCTCAATTTTATACAGGACAAACAGCTAAAGATAAAAAACAGCATGAAGGTATTTAACTGTGGTGACTGAAAACATCCATAAACATTTCTTTGTACATACCACTTGAAATATATCCTTACCATGTACTCCATATTAGAAGCTGTTGGATACACCTGACTTCGTAATTTGTTATGAAGGTCCAAGATACTCTGCATGTCATTGTCTGTGATGGCCCTTTTCCCTCTTTGCTTGGCCATCCACCACTCACCATCCTCATCCATGTACTTTTCCAGAAGTTTCTCCAATAAAGTAGCATTAGGAACCACCATGGCTGCTATTGCTCTAGCCATGAATAGCACTGTGGTTACTCTGAGCCACTCCTGGGCGGTACACTTCATAATGAATGACCTCAGGATTTCCCCAGGATAATCTCCAAGACAGGCTCTTCCACTCCTTTTGGCTACAACATATAATGGAATTAAGATGAAAATAACAGCAGATGTTAATTTTCTAATAACAAACGCAAAACAAAAGTTAGCATGGGAGTGTGCCAGTTTGGTTTGTCTCTCAAATGCCAGAAAATGGACACCCACTTTTTAAAAATTAATTTATCCCCAATCCCATTGTTTCTTCCAGAAGTCTTTTCATGATGCATTGCTTGTACAAAATAATTATATTTTGAAAATGATACATATGAAGCTAAAATAAAAGGTAGAAGTAGTCCAGAAAAGTCAAAGCTTGAAAATGATTTTTGAATATGACTTCAAATGGCTACATATTATATATAATCTGCAAGGTATTAAATACATATACAATGCTTTCTATCAATCTAGAGGTCCATATTTCTACGTTTAAGGTATCATTGTATTCCAGTGTCCCATCTCTGGTTGGCAGGAACCACAACATTCTGAAATTGATGGTGATTCTTTTTCTACTGTAAAAATACATAAAACACAACATTTGCCAATTCAGCGTTTTTCAGGTACACAATGTAGTGGCCTCGATGACGTTAATCATGTTTTGCAACCATTGAGGGTGAACACTTAAAAACACAAAATGCTTTTTATCCATTTATCCATAGGTACATATAAAGAGGACCCAGTGAACCATTGAGGATGAATGGTTGAATCACGGGGGAAGCCGCCTCTTGCCCAGGCACAGGTCAAGAACGCACTCATTATTTTCTGGAAAAGTTTGTGCCTAGCTTGTGGACGCGAGAGAGCCAGCCATTTACCAGCAACTTCAGAGGCCGTCCACCACTACCGGCACACCACTCCTTAACCCAAAAGGAGAGAGCGCGACAGAGGGAAAGGTGAAACTAACAATGTAATTTACAGGAGCAAACTCACAATTCTGCATCACCGCATACTCATCATCCGTGCCTGACGATTCTCTACAAACTGGATTTTTTTCAAAGTAGTTATTAAAAAGTAAAAGATAGACAAGAAACGGTGGGAGCTTAAGCATTCAGCTGTGCGGTTTTGAAATGCCCTTACCTCTCCAGTGTGAAGTTCGCTAGAAACGCAGGGCCGAACTAGACGTCGGCCTCCCGTAGTCGCCCCCTAGCAACTACACAAGACCGAAAACAGAGAAATCCCTTTCGGAAAGAAGCAGGGCACCGCACCGCGCGTCTTGAGTGACGAGTGCGCCGACTGCAAGAGGGTGAGAGGCTCTGACTCCGCGCCTCCTTTGCAGACCTGGCAGAAGTGGCTGCCAAAGTGCTCCAAAGTTAGAACCTGAAGTTGGGGTGGAAATGAAGCTGCCTATTTAGCTTGCCAGAGTGGGCGCCCGGGCGTCTCGGAGCATTATCTGCAGCAGCAAGGGGCGGGGAGACAGACAAGGCTGTGAGGCGAAGACAGGCGGCGACCTCGAGTTTGCTGGAGCGACTGCGCGAGAAGCCAGGCGCTGAGGGCTTCAGCGGCTCCCTCGCCCTCTCAGCATTTAAGGTCCCTGCGCGCGCACGTGACGTGAGCGCCCCTCTTCGCCCACCCCCACCTCTACCCGCCTTGGCCGGGTGCCTGCCGGAGGAGCGAGGAGCAGGCCAGCCTGCATCTCACTGGCATCAGACAGCTCGGTCGCTGGGGCGTTGTGGGCGTGCTCTGAGCTTCAGAGACTGGAGTGATGGAAGGTCTGGACCTTGGGGGAGGTATATGAAAAGGGCTCCTCCAACTCCTCTGCCTCCCATACCTCCCCTGCTTTCAAAAGCCCTCCCAATTCCTCCTTGATAAGATGCTAAAACGACTTTGGCAACCTTTTCTGAAAAGGAGCTTCCTCAGAGAGCACCGAACGGGAATGGGAAGGAGGTTAACATCCTCAGTCTTGGAGATGCAGAAGAGGAACGGAAGTGGAATTGAGAAAGTCTTCTTTTATTTTCCCTAGGAGACAGCTCTTCTTCCTGGACCTAAGATCTAGAATTGAGAAATTGTTTCCTTTGGCTCAGTTAAACCTTGATGATGACCAAATGGGGAAGGAGACATCAGAGAATGACTTGGGTGATCTGAGAAGACTTTCCTTTTTGACTCAGGATTGTCTCACTATTGAGAGCCCCACGTTCCCATCAAATATTTGGCATTCATTTCCAGGGTCGTCGTAACATTTTATTATTTCTTTCTAAGGATGTATAAGGAGCTCTGGTAGCATAGTGCCTAAGGCACTTGACTGCTCACCAGAAGGCTGGCGGTTCAAACCCACCAGCCACTCCTCAGAAGGAAGGTTGGGCAATCTACTTCCGTAGTGATACTGCCTCGGAAACCCAAGGAGGGGTCGCTATGAGTCGGGCCGACTCCACGGCAAAACAACAGCAACAAGAAGGATGTATAGGTTGTATGTTGTTGTTGCTGTTATGTCCCATCTAGTCTGACCGACTCATAGAAGGCGGTATCACTACAGAAGCAGATTGCCCAAACTTCCTTCCCAAACTTCCTTCCTAGGAGTGGCTGGTGGGTTTGAACCGCCTGCCTTCTGGTTAGCAGTCAAGTGCCTTAGGCACTATGCTATCAGAGCTCCTATAGGATGAATACAGCCTTGGAATTGATACACACACACAAAAAAAAAAAGAACAAAAAACCAAACTCACTGCCATCCAGCCATTCCACTCATAGTAACCTCTCCTTGGGTTTCCCAGGCGATATCACTAGAGAAGTAGATTGCCCAACTTTCCTTCCACAGAGTGGCTCCTCAGTTTGAACCACCAGCCTTCTTGTTAGCAGTCAAATGCCCTAGACACTAGGCCACCAGAGCTTCCTTGATATACAAGCTGTCCTCCAATTATCTGTGCTAGCTTGATGAGAACTCAAACCTGAACTTTAGACTAGATGGTGAAATGTGGAGGCAGTTTATCTGCTCTTTATGTTGTAATGTGGAGTGGAGAATTTATTAATTCTAAATGCACAAATACTCACCCTTCTAAGTGAGGTGCTCCTTTTATAGTTATGTTCTTATTAAAAAGCTCACATTTTCTGCATATACTTCCTTTAAGGGGCTGTGGTGGAGTGATGCCTAAAGCATTTGACTGCTAACTGGAAAGTTGGCAGTTCAAACCCACCAGCTTCACCACAGAAGGAACGTGGGCAATCTATTTCAGTAGAGATTTACAGCCTCAGAGACCCAATGGGGGTCACTATGAGTCAGAATCAACTCGATCATAGTGACTTTGGTTTGAAATTTACTTCCCTTATGTAATGAACTGTAATCTCAATTTCTTTTATTTGAAAATGCTAAGCTGTTTGTCATATGATCAAATAAAGTAAAACCTTTCAAAGGTCACTCCTAAATTATCTTTTCACCATCCAACTATATTTTATTTACCAAACCTAAAAACTTGGCTCTAATCTCTATCGGATGTAAGGCCTTCTTTCCTCTCACAGTGAAGAAATAATGTAGAAGTTGAGAGAGTTTAGTGCACATATCACTGCCATAAACAGGGTACTTTTGCAATTTTATAGCAGCTTAAGCACAAAAGACTGTTCTATTTGTACTTTGTAAATTGTTGTTACTGTTGTTACGTGCTGTCCAGTCAGCCGGAATCACATCGAGGCGGTATCACTACGGAAGCAGATGCCCAACATTCCTTCCGAGGAGTGGCTGGTAGGTTTGAACCTCCGCTTGAACTTCCAGCTTTCTGTTTTAGCAGTCAAAATAGTCATTCACAATTCTCATGCACCGTGTTGCGACATATTGTCCTCCTACAAAATAATGAAAGACTCCATAGTTCATGATAAAAGACCTATCATTGGCCACACCAAATGGAGAATATACTGCAGTTTTAATGTGATAATGAAAACTACACCAAGTATTGAATTTTTTAAAAAAAAAGGTTAAAATATTTTCAACGAGAATTTAAATTAGGAAGAAAGGAATTAAGCTGATAAGCAAATGAGATTAAATGCATTGATAACTCTTGAATGTTTCAACTATAAACATTTCTACAGTGTTCAGACATGTAAAGACTTACGTTAAAGAAAATAGATGTGGTTTAAGGTTTTAATCCTAGGACTTTCTCCTAGTAAGAAAAAAAAAGTATATCCCTTGACCCATTGTTTCTACTGGCTTCCAACTTGGTTACTCTGGCTCAGTTATATATATATATATATATATATATATATATATATGTAAAACGAAACATTAACTATGTTAAATATTAACATTTCGAAACATCCTTGTCATACATGATTCAATGTATATGCTGGAAATGCCATGTTGAAGAACAAAATCAAACCAAACACATTATTCTTGAATATCCATAGATGATACTGCTCTCATTTTTATTTGTTGTTAAACAATAAGTATGTATACAGAAAATGTTTTCTCTACACAGAATTTATGGTAAAGTAGTTGTTTTGTTTGTGGCTAAGGCCATTACTTACAAAGATTTGGTTGTCTTTAACTTTACTACTTTCTTTTGGCAGACAATGCTAGCTACCTATCTAACCAACAACCATCATGCCAACCCTTGCTTCCAATCCCTTAGCATCTAATTTACTGAGGATGTCCACTCTCTCCCATGCTGTCAAACTGCCCCTTTATCCTTAGGAGATGAATATTGACTAGTTAAAGGTAATCATCACACTACTTACCTGAGGCCATTGATTGATTTAGCATGACTGCCAACCAGAGAGCTGGCAGTTCAAACCCACCAGCCACTCTTCAGAAGAAAGGTTGGGTGATCTACTTCCGTAGTGATACTGCCTCGGAAACCCAAGGAGGGGTTGCTATGAGTTGGATCAGACTCAATGGCAATGGGTATGTTGGCAAAAACTAGCTTGCTTGATGGGACAGTGGGGAGGGAGTTTTGGGGAGGGAGCTAGTAAAGGTTTTCTTTTGTGATGAAAAGAGATGCCAAGGGGAAAAAATATCCTTTTGGATGCTGGTGTATAAATTTGTGAAATGTAAATGTAATTATTATTGTGCAAAGAAGAGGAACAAACCTGAGTAGAAGATTGCTGTTCTGGCTGACAGAAAGACAGCACCTAAATCTTTGTGCCACTGACCAATTCTTGAAGCATCTACCTCAGTTTTCTTGCTATTAAAAACAAAACAAAACAAGTAAGCAAAACCCCACCATTTTTGAGTCGGTTCTCACTCAAAGCAACCCTATGTTGTTGTTGTTATGTGCCATCGAGTCAGCCCGGACTCATAGTGACCTCTCCTTGGGTTGCCGAGGCAGTATCACTACAGAAGTAGATTGTCCAACTTTCCTTCCAAGGAGTGGCTGGTGGGTGTGAACTGCCAGCCTTCTGGTTAGCAGTCAAGTGCCTTAGTCACTATGTTACCAGACCTCCTAAAGCAACCCTATAGAACAGGGTAAAATGGCCCCATACAGTTCCCAAGACTGTAAAACTCTGTGGAAGCAGACTGCTTCATCCTCCTCCTGTGGAGCAGCTGGTGTGTTTGAACAACTGATTTTTGGTTAAAGCAGCCCAATGCTTTAACCACAGCACCACCAAAGTCCCCATCCCCCAGTATAAACTGAAACTAAACCCACTGCCATCAAGTCCATTCTGACTCATAGTGACTCCAATTGGGTTTCCAAGGCTGTAAATCTTTACAGAAGTAGATTGCCCTGTCTTCCTTCCCTGGAGTGGCTAGTAACTTTGAACTGCCAAGCTTCTGGTTAGCAGTCAAATGCCTTAGGCATTGCACCACCAAAGCTCCTTTCTTCTTGCTATGTTGTTGTTGTTGTTATGTGCTGTGGAGTCGGCCCCGACTCATAGCGACCCCTCCTTGGATTTCTGAGGCGGTATCACTACAGAAGTAGGATTGCCCAACCTTCCTTCTGAGGAGTGGCTGATGGTTTTGAACCGCCAGCCTTCTGGTTAGCAGTCAAGTGCCTTAGGCACTATGCCACCAGAACTCCTTCTTCTTGCTATAAGAGATAATAAATGATAGTTTAAGCCACGATTACTTGGGTATTCAGTTACTTGCAGTGTTCTAACTTGTACATTTCTACGGAGATTCCTCCACTTTGGCAGTGCCATATTTTTTCCATGATGCTATTATTTTCTGCTT